CCCTTCCCCGCCAGCCCTGCACGGCCCTGCAGGCTGACAGTCGTTTTCGGCGCTGTGTGTGTGTGTGCGAGGGAAACAGAGCGACCAAAACGACTCTCGGAATCCGCTGACAACTCGACATCCCCCCCCCCCAAAAAAAAAGCCCTGCACTCGCCGCACAGTGAGCCAGAAGACCAGCGGAGGTGGCCAAAATTCAAGACGCCTTTTAAGCTCCAGAGTAGCTGAACAGCACTCGGACCGAACGTGTGTGTGACCCCACCAAAGAATTTCTCTCCGAGGGGGGGGGGGGGGCACGTTCCGTTCGAGTCCTGTCAAGCGACTCTGGGGCTCAAAACGCGTCCGCCTCCGCCGTTCTTCTGCCAAATCCACTGCGCGCTGCTTACCCCACTGCAGCCCAGTCGATCTGGCCGCTGGGTTTGGTCGGGATCCGGAGCCTCTTGAGGGTCTTGCCGCGGATCTGGTCGGGCTGCAGCATGTGTCCGTAGAGGAATCGCGTGATGCGCTCCTCCTTCTCCACGGCGTCCAGCAGCTCGCGCCGCCTGTCCTGCCGGTCGGCGCGGCGGCCTGGAGTCGGCGGCATCGCTGGAGCAATCAATCGGCCGGTTAGATTACAGCGGGGGTGCACTGTGAAAATCGCAGTCTCACCACTTGCAAGTGCTTTAGTTCAAATGCGGATTCCTAGTTTGCACCATGACAAGAGATAGGCGCATAGGCAGGACTGATTCCGAGAGTCGTTTTCGTCGCTCTGTCCCGTCGCACTCATGGGGCGTCCTGTACGTACAGGTGCGAGAGAGACAGAGCGACGAAAACGACTCTCGGAATCGGTCTGCCCCTGCACCATGACAAGAGATAGGCGCATAGCAGGACTGATTCCGAGAGTCGTTTTCGTCGCTCTGTCTCCGCCGCACTCATGGCGCGTGCTGTACAGGTGCGAGAGAGACAGAGCGACGAAAACGACTCTCGGAATCGGTCCCCACCCTTCAAAAGTGGAGAACTGCATAAGTCTACACGTTCAAGGGTGGAGTTCTCCACCACCGGATTACAGTCTGTGTTCCGGTTCTCCACCGCACACTAGGTTTTACAGTGTGGTGATGAAGAAAAGCGACCCAAACAATAGGCCACAGTCTCGGTGGCATTCTTAGAGTTTCGTTAGAGACGCGAGAAACACCGGTTGGTTTGTTTGCTACTGACGTCCGGCCGTCGGCATTTTTGAGACACTTCCCGCCAAATGACTTTGACGGATTGAATCAGAAATTACATTAAGCCGGGCACATGAGCAAATGACACCTTTATCGAAATCGCTCTGAAGTCACTTTTCTGTTCAGTGCGCCGAAAATTGTACGTGCTTTCATTGAATTCAAAACGGTTGTGACTCAGGGGCGGGCGGAGCGGCGGGAAGCCATCACAGCGGACCCGGTCACCGGCCGAACGCGCACAAAGCTTTGAACAGCAGGGCGAGCAGGGCCCCATCAAACCGAAAGCGAATTACACGTCAAAGCACGAAACTGTCACTCAACACTCACCTGGAGACACGACCGGCGATCGAAGACTTGAAGGTTTATTTCTCTGGATGTTCGAAAGCGAAGCGAGACAATGAGCTGCGACGATTTCTTGGCGGTAACGTGGACGTGATGATCCGTTCCGATCCGCTCGAAAATGGCTTCCAGGTTCGCCAACCCTTGAGTGTTCAAACGTTCAAACTTCACCGCCACTTTCGCGCACGTTGGAAAACGTGAAACCAAACCGTACAATAAAAGTAAAAAGGGGACTGAAAGGAGTGATAAGTCAATTCTTAAAAATGCACTGTATACTGTCTGTCATATCAATCTAAAGTGTGCGCCCCTTCACTTGCCGTCTGTCTAAGTGTAAAACTAGTCAGGAATGTTCATTCCAGGGGCTTCGCCTTCTAATTCCTTTTCATGACGCCAGCGTCAACTTACGGAATCAATATGACAAAAATATAAGTTTACGATTCGTCTGCATGTTCTGCAGTGTCATAATAATCATTTATCAACAAATTTATTTGTTTATGAGGAAACGAGCATTCTGAGTTTGTCAAGGTTGCACATCAAACGTTGTTCTCATTTTTAGTTGTTCTGTAATCCATTATCGACGTTCGGTCATAGAACCTTGCTGAGAAGGAAACTGTAGTCGACAACACCAAACCAAAATACGTGAACTTGTCGAGGTTGTGCAGGTTAGGTTGACTAATACGTCTGCCAGGTCGAGCCGTTGTGAGCCTGCCCAATTTCAGGATACATTTACCGTCGCTGACTCGATATTCACTCGCTTGCACGTTCTGATTCAAATGTTCCCTCCTCCAGCACGTCACTGACTCAACATTGAAATTGATAGACAGATTCGCTTTCAGGTTCTGATTCAAATGTACCCGCGTTACCAACATAAAGAAATTACATTACAATGCGTTCCCGTGTGGTCGTGATATTTTAACGAACGAACTGATAGAAAACAACAATTTTATTCTGTTGCTTTGGTTTCTTTGTCGATTCGTTTCATTTCTTTTCCTCCACACCGTGGCTCTGACTCCAGATGGCTCCGCCATTTTATTTAATTTATTTTCTTTTCATTTCATTGGGCGAAGCCAAAAAATTCGTTTTGGTCATTCCATTTTCTGTCACCTCGCTGCGATAGAGCAGGAGCAGTGTCCGTGATAAATGTTGTGTGCCAGACCGAGCAAAAAATCATGGTCTCTTTTTGTTTCCTAAACCCAATTTACTTTCGTCTGAGGCCCATAACAGCAACTCCATGCTTAATAAAATTACCTTCATACATTCTTTGTACGCTGAACAAGGAAACAAACAAAAGGCTATCATCATTTATAAATTTATTTGACTTGATACACATCAATTAAATAGAAACATAATAATACTAGGGGGTAAAAAAAATAAAATACAGCAAAGCCGGCAAAGCCAGATTAATCACACATTGTCAACTTGTTTGACAGTTTCAGAAATCAATCTGAGTCCACGGATTATCAGAGGATCCTAGGTATGTTATAGCCTTATTATAGTTGGGCAAATCTGCAATTAAAGTAATTATGAGAGCAATTATATAATGCTGTGAAATACAAAATACAAGTGTTAAAGTAATACTAGTGGACGGTACTTGTGGAAAAATGGATTACTTCAAGTTAAAACAATGTGATTAGAAGACTTAAAACATACCAAAATCTTCAGCAATTTCAGGAACAACCGTAAGGTAGTGCTCTACTAGAATAAGATCCTTTCCAGTCACTCTTCCAAAGACATCGATGAGACCTTCCAATGGTTCATCAAGTGGAGCATCGAATTGCAGTTTGACAGTGATATTATCTCCAGTGTTAACGTCAACACTATTTCCAGTGTTCTGAAAGCAAAATGAAAGGAAAAATGATTTTCCTAAAGGTGCTGCAATGCAGATCAATAAATGGGAGGACGAACAGAAGCCTGGTTTAAAAGTGTCAAAATAATTAGGTACCGATAGAGTAGGGTATTCAAAATTTGATGGACGTGAAATGCTGTGGTTATTGCAGAGGAATGGACATAAAAATATGATCCTGTCAAAATACATACCTTCACGACGTAGCCAACCAACCTCACATTCTTTTCCATGTACCGGTTAGTCTGCAGCATGGTGCCAGTTACACTGACTCTAGGAACACCAAATTTTTCATTTGCCATGGTGACAAAAGAAAAGAAGTTTCGGACCTTTGGAAGACGAAGAATTCACTCAAGAATGATAGAACGACAGAACCCGACAGAACGGCAAAAATGAATAAAGCACTCGTTCTCTTTTTGTCAGCCGAGAAGAAACGCGCGCACGTTCAGTGGGGCCAACAACTGAAGTCTACCCTAAAATCAGAGGATAGCCTTATGAGCCTTCTTAACAAGTATTTTTAAAAGTGGGAAAGAAAATGGAAAATCGTCACTTTATCTACGAGAAAGAAATTGTTATCAACCCGTTCTACAGAAGTAATCTATTTTGTTTTGTTGGTACAGCAGTGCAAGCAGTTCCAAACATTTTCTCAAAGGCGTTCTCGTCGTGAAAACAAGCGACACGTCACCGCCGGTTTTCTGCCACCGCGACGCGTCGGCTGTTACGGGTGCTGCTTCTTCCCCCTGTCTGTTCTCTTCCCTTGCAGTGGGTCACTCTCTCATTCACTCACTCACCCAGTGCCACGACATTCGGCATTGCCCCGAATAAAATCACCATGTCGAACAAGAAACAAGCTTTCACCAGGGAAGAGGAGCTGCTTCTCCAAGATTTTAGCCGAAATGTCTCCACCAAATCGTCTGCTCTTTTCTACGGGAACGCTTTCATCGTTTCTGCCATTCCCATCTGTGAGTTTCAATCAGTAGATTGTTTCTGTGTATCTTCGTAGTTAGTAAAATTTTGAATTAGGTTTTGAAGGGACGCAGTCTCTTCCATCAGGTCACAAGTAAAATTCCAGTGTAACCTAGCTCGACAAGTTATTGTCAAAAGGAAACACCATCTTGCACTACAACTTTTAATTGCATCTAGATATTATTAACTAGCTTTCAGGAGTACTTACTTCTTTCACAGACCTAATGTATTTTTTCTTTGCTTTCCAGGGCTTTTCTGGAGGATCCACATGATCGATCTTTATGCATCGCTCATCTCCTTCGTTGTGGTGACTATTGTCAGCACTTACCTTGTTGCTTTTGCGTACAAGAATACAAAGTTCATCCTAAAACATAAGGTGTGATTTAGCTTTGTTAAATTTTTGAAATCATTTGCTCTCAGTGTTTGCTGGGTCAGAGCTAACTGGTTGTTTGTCTGTTCAGGTGGCAGTGAAGCGTGAAGATGCTGTTAACCGGGAAATGACCAAGAAGTTAGCAGAGGACAAGAGGATGAGCAAGAAGGAGAAGGATGAAAGGTAAACAAAACTTCCAGCTTTTCATTTCAAGCTGTTCAGGTTTCTTCACTACAATATTTGAATCAATTTTAATGTTTTGTTTCAGAATTCTGTGGAAAAAGAATGAAGTTGCTGACTATGAAGCTACCACATTCTCTATTTTCTACAACAATGCCCTCTTTTTGGCTATTGTTATTTTTGCCAGCTTTTATGTCCTTAAGTCATTCACCCCTGCTGTAAACTATATTTTATCAGTTGGTGTGGCTGGTGGTCTCTTGGCCCTTCTTTCTACTGGTACCCAGTAAATACTGTACTAATTAAATGTAAGTTCTTCTAAGAAGAGTCTTATGTTTCTTATTTATGTTAATTTTTGATATTAAATTAAACAACAAATAGCAAGTTTTTTTTAAATTTTTTATTACTTAACATTATCCCTTTGACAGACTAGACATAATCATTAAATGCACATAGTCTTCAATAACTTCTAATAAACTACACTCAAATTGAAACAAAAATCTGGCAAATACTGCAACACAGTGATGAAAAGGAGGTGCCATACAAACTTGACCACTTCCTTCACGGCATAAATTGAAACCAATAGAATGCAGCCCACTCTCCACAAGTGATAAAAAACAAAGTCACTTTTAGTCAGAACACACAAAATAAGTGGGCACTGTGATGAGGAGTAACATTAGTGTCCAGTGAATATCTGTCTAATCTAAATGTGAGTTGGTAAACTCAACTCACTTAAACACAGTACATTTTCTCCTACGTCAGATAAGAGAGAAGATATTTTTCTTCAGAGTGGGTTTTGAAACTTAACACCCAAAATTGATTAAGTGTAAAATAAAATAAAATCTAAAATAATATGTGAACTTGAGACTTGGTGCCAAAAGCGGATAAATTAGTCGGTATATTCAACTCCATAAGATTGCAAAGCAGCTTTAGCACAAATCTTCTTGGCTGTCTTTTTGTTGGTTGCTGAAAAAAAAAACTTTATATTAAGCCCCATCAACTCAATACAGGCTTGCTTAGATGCCATTGTGATGTGAAAACTTACCAGAGCCACAAAAATATTGGCCATTGAAATCAACAGTTAGTGTGAACACCGTGGCCCCATTACGAACATCTCTTGCCTGTTCAGTAAACTTAGACTGTGGGCTTATTTGGTGTAACAGCATCACAGGATTAACCTCAGCGGCATTTGAAGGAAGCTTTCCTTTTGGACATGGACTCAAAGTTGAGTTCTGGAAAGAATTTAAAGAGAATAAAATGGTAAACAGAAGGAAACTTAGGATAAGGGCCACTGGTGTAACAGCATTACAGGACCAACCTCAGAGGGATTTGAAGGAATCTTTCCTTGATTCAGTGATGAGTTCTGAAAAGAATGCAATGTGAATAGTACGGAAAACAGAAGTAGCACATTAATTTTGCATGTACAAACTGGAGAATGAACAAATCAAAATCCATCAACCAACCTGGCTAGTTACTAGCCCGAAGGGTTTGGTAGAACCTTGCCATAGAGCAGCTAGTTTGAACATAGCTAGTGATGCCAAGCTGCTCCATGGAGTGTCATCCTCAGGGACTTGATTTTTAACAGCATCAGTCTAGAAATTAAAAAAGCAAGAAAGGTGATAAATTTTCCATTTTTGAAGCATTTTGCTTGGTTTTAGTATTGCTTACCTGACTGTCCTCCTCTTTCATTGGAGTGTCTTCATCTGCAAAGAAAGAGTGAAACAAACCACAGTTAGCCTTTTCAACTATGTAATTTGATGGTCAAAATCATTCAGACTATTAAACCAGGTGTTTGAGGACACTACAGTCAGCATAACAGTGCTATACCTATGGGAAGACAAGGTTGGAAACCACAAGAACCCTCTAAACAACAAGAGGATGAGGATGCAACCAATGAATGAAGCAACCAACATCGTTGTGTTAGGATGTCAGGGACTTGGGACCTAAGCTGCATGACTTAATTTTTTAAGGTCATTGATGTGGTACCCGAATTAAATGTACCATCTTGTAATGAAATAAATACGGCACTCTTTTGAAAACCAATAAACTTGCAGTTGAAAGTCTCACCTTCTTTCTTGACAAGTTGATCCATTAGTTTGTCAAAGTACAGGCCCCTCAAAGCAGATTCTGCAGCTTCTTGCTGAGCAAGTTTCTTGCTGGGGGCCTGTCCCAAAAATGTTGAACCGTCAATCTGAAAAAAAAAAATAAAATGAAAGGTTTGCAAAATGTTAAATATTAAAATGGTATCTATAGTTTTGTTATTTTTACCTCCACAGACACAACGAACACGGTCTGATTGTTTTCACTTTTTTCAGAAATGTTGTAGGGAAGGCCTGGCTTCAGTTCATTGAGAATCATCAAGGGGTTTTTCGGGATCATAAGCTTCTTGGCTTGATAATTCCTTCTACGACGCTTAACGTCTGGAGCAACTTTCACTGCAGAAAATAAAGACATGTGAAACAAAAAAACTAAAGAGAATCATCAACAATCTTTTTCAACTGAAAATGTTACTTACCAATAGCACCACCAGGCCTTTTTAACCAAGGCTTGCGTGCACCTTGAGCTTCAAAGTTGTCATTCTCAGTACTTGTATCCATGGCACCAGTACCAAAACTCTGGTCATTTGGATAGCTCAGTGGATTCATCACATTATTGTTTGAAGCCATAGTGACGTAACTGAAAAGGAAAAAGAAGTTCAATAAACAATTAATTATTATTAAAATATTGTATCACTCCCTGGGCACTGGCAACAGGATCTGTGAGGGGCGTTTTGAACATGGAGGGCGTCTTAGCACTCGCAGGAAAATAGGAAAAAATGGCGCAGCAATGATATCCCTATCCTATCTGCGGATCGGACTTCAATAATGCTCCGGAAAGTGAACACTGCAGCTAAAACAATACTTAATTGTCGCTGCTTTGCGGCACGCTCGCTCGGCAGCCGATAGGCTGAGGCTGCATAGCAGAATACAGAACTCAGCACAAGTACTTTGTAATCATACGAAGACTATGCGCATCAAAGAAACCAATGAGGTCTTATATGAGTAGAACATACTTACTATAAACGAAGACCGACAGAAGAACGAAAAGTGCGACAAATCCAAACCGATAAACTAGCAAAGCAAAGATGCGGTTGTCTGACAAATGGTCGGTCGGGGCACAGACACAAACACAAAAAAACAGCGGAACGACGACGAACGCTGACTCCAACTGAGCCAACCCTTTTTGGTTTCTTCTATAACTCTAACCAATTATTTGACTGAAATAGCCCCCATATTTCATCACAACTATAATGTTTTATACAAAGCGGATCTTTTTAAGTATGGTTTCGTTTGTGGCGCTGTGAAACAAAGGGAATGACAATGCTGAAAGCGGCAGTGACAAGTTGGCTAAAATGGTGACAATGGCGCGCGTTTCAAACTTTAGAACAATAAAATATTAAAATCGTAATGCGGGAGAGCAACTATAACGTAAATCGAAAGAAGAAATTGAAGAATATTTCCCCTATTTCGTGGAGAAATTTATTTTGTTGCAATTAGGTCACCAATAAGGCTAAATTCAATCACAAACATCCTTTTTTCCTGCTTTCGTCTGCTTGATGCGGCACTCTTTCGGAAACTGCAACCCTACACTCCAAAAAAGTTACGTTCAACACAAACTGCTGCCATGTCAAGGCTTTCACACTCGTCGGTCAATGAATTTGCCTTGTCCTTGTCATTCTTGAATCAGCGGTACGTCTAAAGTAGGAAATGCTTTGCCGTGTTAACCAGCTGATCCCGACTTGTAGTGTTGGCGACGCTGCCCGCATTATTCGGTTACCTTCGGACACGGCCCGACCGAACGATTCGGTTCCGTGGGGGGCAAGGGTAGTTGACGGTAACCCCTTGCAATTTGTCATTTTTCCTTATCGGTCCTGTGGGAAAACAAACTTTGGGGCGTTATTGGTCTGTGCGTGAGTGTTCGAGACGAGGATCCAGGACTTTGCGGCGTTGGCCGCGCTGGGGCTGAGTCGTTGCTGCGTTTCGGTGAGTACTTCATCCACTGCCATTAGGGATCGTATTGGTTGGGATTCTTTGTTGCTGCCTGTCTGCGACTGCCGAGGCGTTTCGTGGGAGAGGTTTCCCTGTGCGGCGTTCCTCGCCCAGTTGTGAGACGTGCTCGGGACCACACCCATTGTGTACTTGCACCGCAAACGGCAAACGACCCCCTGCCGAAGTGACTGTTGTCCTAGTCCTAACCTGTACACAGACCAACCACATTAAGTGCATCCAAAGTGCTTTGTGCTAAGGTTGTTTGTGCTAACGACAGGGCTGGGGGTCGAGGAGAAGGCAACTTCGTTAAGGTCACTTGGGTTTGGATTGATTTGCACCATTACGTTTACCACATCCGGAGCTCTGCTTTGAGTTTTACGCTAACACTATTTTTGTTTTTGGCTTGTAAAGTGTGATTCTGCTGTCTGCTGAATAGGATCATTGTTTTCAAATGATTGCGATTTGTTTACCTTTTCCCCCTCAATAGAAATTGTTACATTTTAAACGATTCAGTGTAACTAAAGCAAATTACTCTATGAAAGATTTGGCAATTTTAGTATTAGTTTTTTTTTTTTTTTTTTTTTTTGGGGGGGGTGCAGGGAATGGAAATCTCATGGGAGCTGGAAACTTAGACGGATACTGTTGCCATCAGACTTTTGTAGGATAAAGTTTGCGTCATGTGGCAGTGTTCTTTGTAGTGAATATGTCATCATTAGGTGTCATGCTGGATAATTGCTGTACTTTTCCCAGCTGTCACTGAAATAAGAATCGACTTTTGCTGTGTAGAGTGGAAAACAAGGTGAACACAGTGATTCAAACCACAGCCCTTGAGCAAGCTTCAAGGCCACATCGTATTCATCCACTCACAGACTGTGACAATATTTCTGTTTGAATGCTGATGTTGAATGTGGTGCTATCAAATTGAAAGAGCTAGAGAGAGAGAGAGAGAGCTGTAAACCGTCTCACTTGTTCATATCACTGATTTCTTGCCTTGGATCACTTTGGGCAAAGCCAGGGCCAAATGCGAGTAAGCGAGTGAGCTCGACGGCTCCCAGTGGTGTGGCGACCCGCCGACAGATGGCGTATGCGTCTCCGCCCGAACGGGTGGCGACGGGAGATCTGAGAGAGAGAGACGCAGACAGTGCTCTACCGCAGTCGACTAGACGCTTTTGCCGTCCGAAGCCCGTGTTGCATCTGACAAGTGGTATCGGGAGAGAGAGCTCGACCACTAATGCACCGACCATTTATTTTTTGGCTCGGCTGCGAGTCGAACCCGCGAAGTGCACTTGAACATTTCCTGTTGCGCGGCGCTCACTCGGATCGTCCAAGGAATCCAAGGGCACGAGAGCACCGAGTGTCCGCGTACTCGGGGAGGGCGGGGTTGCTATCGGCCCCTCCGGGCCCCTCTGCGACCAGCCGTCAAGGCCCTGGTCGGCCTTGTTGCAGGCCATGGCGGGCCTTGGTTTGAGCCATGGTGGGCCTTGGTTTGAGCCATGGTGGGCCTTGGTTTGAGCCATGGTGGGCCATGGTGGGCCATGGTGGGCCCTTGAGTGAGCCATGGTGCGCCATGGTGCGCCGTGGTGGGTCCTGGGAGGTCCTGATGGGTCCTGGTGGGTCCTCGGTGGGTCCTACTTGGTCCCACTTGGTCCTACCTGGTCCTACTGGGTCCTGGTGGGTCCTGGTGGGTCCTGGTGGGTCCTACTTGGTCCCACTTCGTCCTGCTTGGTCCTACTGGGCCCTGGTGGGTCCTGGTGGGTCCTGGTGGGTCCTGGTGGGTCCTGGTGGGTCCTCGGTGGGTCCTGTGGTCCTGGGCCTGGTGGTCCTGGTGGTCCTGGTGGGTCTGGTGGGTCCTGGTGGGTCCTGGTGGGTCCATGGTGGGTCCATGGTGGGTCCTGGTGGGCCTGGTGGGTCCTGGTGGGTCCTTGGTGGGTCCTGGTGGGTCCTGGTGGGTCCTGGTGGGTCCTGGTGGGTCCTGGTGGGTCCTGGTGGGTCCTGGTGGGTCCTGGTGGGTCCTGGTGGGTCCTGGTGGGTCCTGGTGGGTCCTGGTGGGTCCTGGTGGGTCCTGGTGGGTCCTTGGTGGGTCCATGGTGGTCTACTTGGTCCTACTGGGTCCTGGTGGGTCCCGGTGGGTCCTACTGGGTCCTGGTTGGGTCCTGGTGGGTCCTGGTGGGTCCCGGTGGGTCCTACTGGGTCCTGGTGGGTCCCGGTGGGTCCTGGTGGGTCCCGGTGGGTCCTGGTGGGTCCTGGTGGGTCCTGGTGGGTCTTGGTGGGTCATGATGGGCCATGATGGGCCATGATGCCCCCTGGTGAGCTCTGATGCGCCAATGCACCCTGGTGGGCCACAGTGCCCTGGTGGGCTCTTTGAGGCTCGTTCGCGTGTAAGGGAAGGGAGAGGGGCTAACCCTGGACACATGCGGCTGCAGCTGTCCAATCCTTGACCGATTTCACCCGTAGAGGATGGTGGGGGTGGGGTGGGTGGGGGTGACCTGCCCGGGAAAAGAGCGGGGTGGTACAGAGGGAGGGGGGAGGGCTTTGCTTCGACTTGGAGCAGGGAGACGCGGGCCAGGCGGTCGCTGACCTATTTCCGCGCTGACGACCCAAACCCAACCGCACAGCGCCGCACGGCACTCGCGGGGTGAACAAGGAGAAGGCGAGCACAAACCGCCCTGCGCCCCGCCCCGCCACGCCCCGCCACGTCACGCCCTGCCATGCCTTGCCACGCTCCGCCCCTCTGCCCTGGCCCGCCCCGGCTCGCCACGCCCCGCCACCCCCTGGCCTTGCCCGATGCCGTAACTACCCCCTCTGGTCCGGGGCGTCTGGTTGCCACTGCTCCCGGTCGGGGTCACCCCTGCTTGCCCGCTGTGCTTGGGAGCCGTCGGGGCCCGACTCGGGGGGCTGCTAGGCGCTGCCAGGGCACCGCTAGGGCACCGCTAGGGCGCCGAGCGGCGGAGGGCTAGATAGATCGCTTTCGGGGCCTTGAAGGGTCTAGCAATGACGTGGGCGTGGATCAGCTCGCTTGGCGGTCAGTACTTGACGGATTTCGAGAGTCGTTTTCGTCGCTGAGTCTCTTTCGCGCCCATACGGGACGCCCCGTGAGTGCGAGAGAGAGCGATGAAAACGACTCTCGGAATCAGCTGCAGTTCTGCGATTCAAACAAGCTCCCCACCAACCCCGCCTTACTCTCCGCAGCCCCCTGAGGTCCTACACTCTTTCCCGTACACTCCCGGCCCTACGCCCTACGGCCCCGGCGAGGGCCCCGGCGAGAGCCCCGCCCCGCATCCCTCGCCACCCCTCTGGTGGGCGGGCACTGCGGGCAGGTCCTTGGGTGGATCGACCAGCCCGCCGCGGTGCGGGCCGCGGTACGGCACGAGGTGTGCACTCCAGGCCAGGGCCGCCACCCCATCTGTTGTTCCTTCCGTTCGGGACCTGTCGCGCCCAACGGCCCGGGCCTCGGCCCATGGCTGCGGACTCATTCCGAGAGTCTCTTTAGCCGCTCTGTCTCTCTCGCGCCTATACGGAACGCCCCGTGAGTGCGAGAGAGACAGACCGCCGCCGCCGACTCCTGGAGTCAGTCTGCAGGGGCGGCGGGCGGGGGTCGTCGGCGGCCTCGCCGCGAGGCGGGCCGAGGCGGGCCCTCCAGGCGCGTGGCCTGCATGACCTGCTGCCTGCACTGCATGACCTCCCGGCACACACGAACCCCGCCGCGGTCGTTCTTTTCTGACGAAACGCGACGCTCCAGTTTGGGTCGCTTCTCCGCGGCCCCGGCACGGATAGAGCGCGCACTACCACTGTCGCGCTGTCGTACCGTTTCAGTGCGGTATAAAACGGGCGCACCCTCGCTCCCTCTCTCTCTCTCTCTCTCTCTGACAAACAGGCCGTGCAGCGTGCAC